CAGGAAAGGAGCCTCCAGCCTAGTTGGGGCCATGCCCCCTCGCCACTCCAACAGCAGAGTCGGGGGCCTGGCCAAAACCTGGCCAGCAGAGCCTCTTAGGCGAGGGAGCAGGAGGGGGCTTATACTGCTGCTTGCTCGACGCGTGGAGTGAGTGCTGCTGCTTGCTCGACTCATGGAGCGAGTGGTGGCCACGGCAATCGGGGGGGGGGGGGGGGGCGGCCAGGTCTGGGGTGGTGGGACAGGGACAGGGGAATTAAACCCCTCCCTGGCCAATTCACTTGGAGCTACTGCTGAGGCTGGCCCTGCCCCTGCCACTGGAGAAGTCAGCAGAGACATGCAGGTCTATGCCAGTCGGACAGGGGATGCAGGGAGAATGGGAGGGGTGGAAAATAAACCTCTTCCCTGCCCCCTTCCCAGGGCCAGTGTCTGGCTAGGCCCCCACCCCTACCTGTCCCTGCTTTGGCTGGGAGGCAAGGGTGGGGGGGGCAGCCCTGTTCCACTGGAGCAGAGACCCCAGCCCAGAGAGCATGCTGGGAAGCTGGGGGACTCTGGTTTAAGTTAAACCAGGAAGCGGTCTGGAACAGACATTGCATAAACCAGTTTGAGTTCAATCAGTTGAGTCTGATACTATATTCAACCAGGTTTATCATCTCAGACTGGTTTCAGCCATTTTGAAACTGGTTTATGTGCACTGAACTTATGTTCTGTGACAGATTTAAACCAGTTTCTGATCACTTAAACTGGTTTATATGTAATATGTGTCCTTAGGCTGTAGCAGAACCCCCAGTTTTTTCTTTTTTTTTGGTATTTATTTTAAAATGCATTCCCTCCCCTTTCCCAACCATTTCTGACCTTTTCTCTCCCTTTCTATTCCCTATAGATAAGTATAAGCGAGCTCAGACTTACGATAAACTTTAAATATTTTTATTTTGGTAGCAAGTTTTTGGTTATCCACTGTGTGTCCTTAGGCTGTAGCAGAACCCCCAGTTTTTTCTTTTTTTTTGGTATTTATTTTAAAATGCATTCCCTCCCCTTTCCCAACCATTTCTGACCTTTTCTCTCCCTTTCTATTCCCTATAGATAAGTATAAGCGAGCTCAGACTTACGATAAACTTTAAATATTTTTATTTTGGTAGCAAGTTTTTGGTTATCCACTGTTTTATACTGTATTATTATTAGGTTTGTATTGATTCTTACTGTTGTATATTGTATTATTATCATTTTCGTATTGATTTTTATTGTTTCATATGGATATCGTATGGTTTAGGCCTGTGTTTGTAAGTGAACCAAAGTCATGTCAAGTTTCCATTTTATATGTCAAGCCTCCATCTTCTGTCCTCTGCCATGGGTGTCCCATGTTGCAAATGTATGAGTCACGTACCCCTCCCATGTAAATTGGTTCCCGGATGAATGAGAATGATTGGGAATGATTGAAATGCAACAGTAGCAGGCCTCTACTGAATGGCTTGTAATGACTGGGCCATCACCTCGCATTGATTCATCTAGGAAACACGGACCTCACCCAGTAACAGAGACAAGACCAGCATTTGAAAAACAAAAGACCCTGCAAAACCAGCAACTCTCACCATTACAGACACCTAAAACTGCACTTCCCTGCATGGAGCACACATGGTCAGAACACCAGGGGCAGACCCTTGCCTGGACATGCCTATCACTAGGGTCACACAAGGTCTGCCCCTATAAAAAGGGGCAGTGAAGACAGACCCAGTGGGATGCCCTCTCCATCTGGACCAGCACCATGCCACACTGCCTATCCACCCAGAGGCCCTGCCGGCGACCCCCCCTCTGGACAACATCTACTGGACAAGGACCCCTTTCCAGCCTGGATAGGTAGATATTACCTGCACACCTTCTCCTACAGTTTAGACTCTCTCTCTCTCTCTCTCTGTCTCTCTCTCTCCTCCTGGACTGCAGTAGACTTCATCCCCTGCACCAAACGTCTCTAACCCCTGCTGCCATTGTGTGTGTGTGTGTGTGTGTGGGTGCAAGGTAACCAATAAGACATTGTGTCACTATCTCCCCTGTTCAATAAAAACACTGTCATTTGCAACCCTGAGTTGGGTCATGTTTTACTGAATCCCAGTCCCTTCCTTATCTTAAATTCCAGCCTCATTCTCTCTCTCTCTCTCTCAGCTCCAGCCCCCACCCCTCTCCACTAGTTTCCCAATCTCCTCTCAATTCCTACTGCCTTTTCCCTGTGACTTTCTGCTGCTGTACTCTGCTTTCCTGCAACCTGCTGCTTTTCCTGTGATTTTCTGCTGTCTGTCTCTGTTTTCAGGCTTCCCCTGCACCTTCTGTAATACTCCCCCCTCCCCCTGCAGCTTCCCAGCTCCTCTTAGCTGTCCTGCAGCTTTCTCCAGCACCTGGAGCCTTTCTCCAGCTTCCAGCACCTACTGCCACTCCCCGCAA